CGTTCTGATAAGGAGATTTAGTCCTGCACAAGACTTGCGACCCACCATTCCAAAGCCAGGCTGAAGTGGGTCATTTTGATGTTGGGCTATTCCTCTCCCCACTGTATTAAATTTCGTACTCTGAAGTTATCCATTGTGCAAATTGTGAAAATACTGCTATTTACGGACGGTGAAAGTTGTGGGATTCGTATTGTTTGTGTGTTTACTTGTGTCGTTTTCCAGATACACTTAAAAAGCCTTCAGCCTTGTTTTGGAATGGCGGGGCACTTATCTCAGAGATCCTCAAGCATCTCACACCACCCTTCAGTACAGAATATCTTAAATCAAAATACATTAGGGCGATGTGAAAGCGTGCACAATGTTATATTTCTCATGAAGCAGTGACTTTGTGGGATTCGAAAAACTTGTCAGGCTAAAAAGAGACTCCAGTTTCTGGTCATGGGCATGGTCCAGAAGTGGTGCGGTGACGCATGTGTTTTCCTGCTCTTTTTTTCCCTTAGAAGTGATGTACATGCATATATACTTTAGAGCACGTGGCCTTGTTACTAATAAAAAGACCATAAATTGGGGAAACGTATTGGGGGAAAAATTCAGCTCAGGAAATAAAGTCTCGTCTCACTCTAATCTGCCTTTGTTCTTGGCAAGTGACGATGTATGAGTTGTTACATGTATGGTTATCAAAACGCGATATCCATCGCCACTGCATGCGCTGCATGCTTATACATGTATTCCGCCACTGCCTCGCCGACACTGAAGTAGACGAGGCCCTCACGATTTGTCCCTCAAATGCGTTTTCAATATGTTTACTTACGCAGGCCGTAAGACCACTTCGTTTGTCTGGTTCACAGACGTACATGGGAACGGGTCCGAATCAATTGGCTACGGCCGGAAATTAAACCGAGTATTTGGCAGCATCCACGGATAGTTCCCATAGAATCATGCATGATATCAAGCCGCAGCCAAATTATTCGGACACGACCCTCGTGTAAAGATACATGACTGACTTCATCTGATAAAAGTGCCCTACTGAAATGTGTGGAGACCTAGGGGATTCCGTTACCGTACAGTATTGCACAACCCAACCCATCAAAAACACGTTAAAGTTATGCGGTAGCAGAATTCTTGGCAGCTTTCGGAAATCGTTTTTACAAAATAAAAAATAATTTATTATGCCGACGCGCGGGTCTACGGCGACTCGCGCGGTGACCAGAAACCTGAAACTTTTTTGGCCTTAGGTCAGTGTTTTACACAAAATATGTAAAGCCAATGCAGGCAACGTGTTGCTTTACGAAACTTTCGTATCTGCCTCAAGAAGCCGTTTTGATATGATCTTTTAAGTGACAGTTGTCAGACAACTTAGTACAGCTAAGACTTGTCACAGTAAACTGAACCGGCCCATCCTAATCTGACTCAACCCATCAAAACCCAACTCGACTAATTGATAGACACCATGCATGAATTGATAACGTCGGATATTACACATCATATTAATACCTAGTGGTTTCGTCATACCCGATAACTAGTCACGGAATAGAAACAGCGTTAGTCAGAGCAAATGTGTGCAAAAGATATACACTCTCTAAATCGGAGAGTTAAATTAGGGACAAGACGTTTTAGAGTGAAAACCACTCTGAATTTAGACTGAAAAAGGCTGAAAAAGCACCTTCCAGCGGAAGCTCGAGTGAAATTTCAATCTTTTGGGGTGAAGAAATTTCACTCCAATTCGTCTGGTCCTTAATTTCAAACGGAGGGATTGAATTTTCACTTCAATAGAGTGAATTTTCACTCTTTGGAATACAGGCAAAACTGAAGTAGTTCTCTGTTTCAACTTCATTGTTCAAATATCCGTGGAAACCTTTTGGCTTATACAAGCGTACGTATAGGCGGGACCTGGATACCTATGATTTATTAAGCGACACACCTTTTGTTTTTAGTTTCGCTCCGAGGTTTGTTGTGAATACGTCGGCGTTGATTCACAGCTTGGTTTAGTGTCTTCTTCGATATTTTATTTCCTTTTGGATAAATTCCTTTCCACCCTCTAGATATTGGGAGTACCAGCTCGCCTCAGTTGAAATATGTTTCCTGAATTAGTGCAGCTGGCTCAACTTTCACTGTGACCAGTGTATGAGGAAACCCGACGTGCACGTGCAGATTATTTCCGAAACCATCTTCACTTGTCCTAATGAGCCATCCTGCGAAATGTCGTGTTCACGTCAGGTCATGAATACAGATATTCTACGGAGTCGCCCCAAACAAGGCACATTCCAGTCATGAAGTGAAAACAACTTAGCTACAGGGTTGTTACAATCTGCATTCTGGTCGTGAAAAATGTCACACATCCTTCTTGGGGGCTCGTTCATACTTCAGTTGAATGCGAAAGCGAAACAAATTTGACGTCACAAAATTTTGCAACGACATTCGCTTGAGTTGAAGTGTGTTTAACTTTTGCGAATATGCCGCACGAGTATTTTGGGCTGACGCCATTGAATTGCGTCCGTGTGTTCGTCTTCACTTTCCCACGAATTATGCATCAGCCTAAACCCTTATAATGCGATCCATCTTACAAAAAGGCTTTGAAATTTCGCACTCCTAAAAACCATTTTTTTTTGGAAGAAACGCAGCGTGCGTAACGCGCGGCAACGTATCATAAGTAATTCAGGAGATCACGGCCCAGCAAGAAATGTAGAGGAAGAAGACAAGAAATCCCGGTCGAAGGGTTTAGTGATTTCCAAGCCGGTCTGCTGGGAGTTACCAGCACTGTCAAAACCAGCACTAATGCTGCAGGCGATAGGCATCCAGTATATGGAAAGAAAACACCGGCCAACATCGCCTGATTGATTTATGATAGGAGCGAAGTGGCTGGAAACTCTAATCTAATCGTCTGCATTGACCAAGTCACGTCGGTGCGTCACACCGAGTCGCAGGTCAGGCGAGAAAAAACGCAGGATTGTGACAGAAGTGGATCAGGGATAAAACCGGTCATATGCCACTGCCCCTCCCCTTGCCCACTACAGTCCATTTTGACGGCCCTAAAAAATATGCACTGGCCAAATTCGGCGACAGAAGGCCACCCGGTGTGTGAGTTACTGCAGAAAAATAAAACAATTCTGAGGATCCAGAATGCAGTAAAAAAAATCCAATCCTTTAGCTGCTGTTTTCATCATACGGGGAAACGGTTACCTCTTATTTGGTAAATGAACACAAGCACATTTTTTTCACTGTCATTTGTCATTGATTAAGAAGGACTGACAGTTCATTTCACAAGCTGTCAGAATCGATGTCAAAGGCAGATCCCAAAGGACTTCGGAAAAGATTCAGCTGGGATCGAGAAACGTCAGGCCAGCCTGAAACATCTTAAGCACTGTTATTTTATTAGCAAGTCTTACGATAGGGTCAACGTGGCATCCTCCTGACCCCCCCACAACCTCCTCACCCCCCACGATGGAGACACCGTGTAAATTGCATCTCACTGCACATGAAAACAATTCATCTGTACTTTCATGACCTTAGAGCTGCGTTTGAGTCGCAAATGAACGGCTTGGCTTTTTAAACAATTACTGGTGTAACAGCCAAACCAGAATCTAAAATAATTTGCCTTTCAAGATAAAAAGGCGCGATTTAAGCGTCCTCTTTTATTTTATTTTAGCAATAAAGCTCATTGGTCTTTATTGTCCTTCGATCTATTTCATCGTCTGCACCTGGGAAAACTGTGATAGACCTCAATATTCTTGGACGTACTCCCACATCTTACTTTCCAGATGTAGATAGATGCATTAGCCATTCTTGCGGTAGAAAGAAACGGGACAAAAGAATCCCTGGTATTTCAGTGGTGTCACTTCTTCCCGGCTTTTGTTTATCATTGAAGCGCTCTGCCCAGTTGATCATTCCATAGAGCAAGGATAAAGATTATTCTAAGAAGGCTCGGTTGAGATTCGACTTGTTCGGCTAGCGGCCAAGCCCTTTGTTCACCGAGGAATGATGCATGTATATGTTATTGATTGCGATTTTGGCGGAGAGCAAGAGATTTTACATAATATACACCAGTCTCCTGGTAACAAAGAAATCTCGGCCAATTCAGGCAAAAGAATTCATGGCATTTGTCGAAAGGCAGTCTGTCTTTTTGTTCAGCTGAGAACTATAGGCGCGGCCACAACCTCCTGATTTCTCGCGGGAGAGTATGACAACGACGGCAGACGCCAGGTGGGGTTTTTAAACTAAACAATTGCCGCCGTAGAGCATACACAGTGTATTTCATGCATATTTTCTATATTAGTACTAACAAAGACCGAAACTGTGGGGATTACACATAGGTGGTTATAGAGCAGTGGCCTTTTCACAACCTTTCCAATCTCGATAAGGGCATTAACGCAAAGAGAGGAGAGATAATTTTCACGTTGCTTTATTGGAATATCTACCGCATTGATGTCAAACAGATTCGTCATGGGACACGATGCCGAACTTAATCTTACCCACTGATTTGTTAATTGCTGAATGACATATTTTTTTAATTTGAATTCACCCGAGTAAAAAGCAGTTGTGCTGTGTCACGTGACATAAAAAAGCTCTTTCGTGGTTAAGTTTGTGAACACTCGTCCGAACTTTCGTGGTTAAGTTCGTGAACACTTGTCCGAACTTTCCTAAAAGAAATTGTCCCCTTGTTGCGGGAATAGACCACCCACAATCACATCTGCGGGACATGTGACCATTCCGGAGGTGTTGTAATGCATGATTTGTTGAAGCATTATTTTCGAAAAATAGGTTTTTATGTAACGCTGACTAAAATGTGATTGTAATCGGATATCTGGCAACAGGTACGCATTGCTTTTCAAATGCCATCTGGATGTTGGGGCGGCAAGTCGCAGGTAAGCTAATGTGTTTTGCCTTTTTTGCATTGTTCTTGCGATTTTGCTTTGGTGCTTAAGTAACAACTATCTGAGTTTATGTGGCCGGTAACTTGTTTCATAAACGTCAAGTTCAATATACAATACCCAACAAAATTATTTCACAGATGTAACTGTCGACGTAATATTTTATTAGAATTTTTTCATTCGACCAGTACACTCTTGGATTTTTTTAACAGCGTCACATTTTGAAAAATATAATTGTATGCAAGCTAGTACACAACTACGCAGACATCTAGGCTAACTAATCGTGAGATAAGGAAAAATTGTTTTCTTAAAATAAGCGTTACAAGCAGTTTATCTTTAAACATATTAAGAATGTACCTTTGAATATACTTTTTATTAAAACGTGTCATAAGTTGGGGGCAAATTGTGAGCCACGTAAGAATGAAGTCAATAAACTACACTATTCGTGGTGAGTGCTCAGGCATGTTGTTGGTGCTTATTTGGTTTCCTAAAAATGCTCTGGAGCGGGACCAAGTACCAACCATGAGGGACTGTTGCCTTTAAGGGAATACGACTCTCTACTCGGAATACCATCTAATCATACATTTCAGAACGTTAAAAACTGAAACAACCTGCATCTTACGTCATAAAAAAATGTCAAACTCTTCAACTCCATGGGCCTCGTTCAGGGTTATACCATCACAGTGTGCGTGTGTGCGTGTGTGTGCAAGCGTGGCTTACAGGTAGATTTTAAAAGCAAAATCGGGACGCCAACAAAACAAAATCATCTTGATGAAAATGGTTGAAACAGGACAAAAAGTTTGTTTTGCAATGGCAAAAAAGCCCTAGTTGTGCACCTATCAGCAAGCACAAAACAAGAAAGACTCTTGTAGTTGAAGTCTTTACCTACCAAAATAACAACATAATATTAATCTTTATAAGATATTTTAATAACTACCAGTTTGCTTGAATAGCAAAATGTGGGCGAAGCGGAAGTTATGTCGTTTCAGAGAAACGTCTGTTTTAGAAACGACAACTCAAATAGACATTTTATTTTAATCCACTCCTACCAAGTATGTAGTTGAATGGAGGCCTTTAAACAAATCCACCTTGTGGGATACTTTTCTTTCGAGGGTTTTCACTGACCCTTTTCTTACTGTCCCCGATTCTGTGGGTGGGCCGAGTTATCAAAAATTTACCATTGGTTGATGGTACAGGCTTTGTTACAATCCTGAGCGGATCTAGTAGTGTTTATTATAGAACTGCGAATTGATCTTTTTTAATACTGACACTCGGTTATATTTTAACCGCATAGGTTGCCAAAATCTACCACTGTGAAGTAGCAAGAGAAAGGTCCGACACCAGTTGTCAGTTTCTACCACCATGCTTTAACAAAGCCAAATTTTAGAGATACCAAATGAGTCAGTCACTACCCCTAAAGGGCGAGGAATGACAGCTTTCGGCTGATTTTATGAGTATGTACTAAAAGGGCTTGTCACTATCACTGTAGAGAGACATTCATCTGGAGTGAGGAATTCTACAACAGGAGACAACATTACAAGTATATTTACAATAAGATGAACATTAAAGGCAAATTTATTCCAACTGACATAATTTTGACACATTTCACAGTACGTTTCTGTCGACGTTTTCTTTGCTCATGCAAAGTTCATACAAGAGACATGATTTGTACACGCTGGGCGTTTACACTTTTCAAGGATGTGTGGGTTGACTGACATCTTTAAAAGTGTCTTCCTGCGTAACATGTACTGGTCAACAGCTTTCAGCAGATTCTGCGCACACATTTTAAACATACTCCATTATACATGGATGTGAAAAAGAACTTTGTGGCTTTGAGAGGGGAAGTGATAAGATAATGTCACGTAACACCAAGTGCAACAACTCCTTGAAGTGTCAAAAGTAGACATTACTTAATATGTAACCTTGGGCTATTTCCTTTTAATAATACTAATCAAATAAACTTCGTGGATAACCGCATCACAGTGCCACTTATATAACGCGCTCCGTGTTCTGACTGTTGTGAAGTGCCTGCGCAAACGGTTTGACTAGATCCATGCAGTTACGCATTGGTTTGCTCGCTGGAGCGAATGAATTTCTGAGTTCCACCATCGCGTACGGTATGCCCCATCAATGCAATTATATTAGTATGTAACCCACAATCTCCTCGTCACGGAGCACATTTCAGGCGAGTGACACCGTATCAATAGAGGTACATTCCTATTTCTTCCCGTTTTTAACATTTTTCTCCATCTGTAATTTGTTCCAGTGAGTTTGACCGTTTGAACGATCTGATAAGGCGATTGATTATAAACCGACTGCATGATACATGATGGAACTAATCAACCCGAGGAAAGATTTTAGAAACCCCGTAACACAACACATATATAACTTGGCTTTGATTTTGAAGGAAATGGCACTAGAGTGATCACATTACCAAAGGGGGGTTAAGATAAATAGCTCAAAGCCCAGCTAGCATGGATCAAGTATGTAAAGCCATTTAGTCCTCTCAGTTTGTACTACATGTATATCAGAATGTGTGTGCCAAATATTCAATGCGATGTGGCTTTTCAAACACCTCTACTAGAAATTACACTCTCCATATTCCTTTAAATTTTTGAATAGCTCATCTAATAGATATTACGGCATTGTATTACAGTACTGTAAGTCTTTAAAAGACAGATTAAGACAAATGTCTTAATACAAAAATAACAGGAAAACAATAACTACGTAGCGCAGGCAACAAGCAATAATGAAATGCGTATTGTGTCCAAGACGTGTCCATTTAGGTCATTTTGTTTGAGCGGTTGGCTTCAACTAAATATATATTATGAATCGTGACTGACACTCGTGCAAAGCGAACAGGATGTAACAAATAACATTCTCTGAGTAAATATTATACAGTAACTGGCTCTCGTTTCCTTATCGGATTAATCTAATTTCAATTTCAAATTTGTCTTTTTTAAACTCCGAGTATGTCGCGTATGTGCGCACTTTGGGCAATTTCTTGACGTATGTGCGTGATCAGCACATGTATGGCCCCTCGCTCCTGAATGATACAAATATGGCTTCGTTTGTCGTCACAGTTACGTCTCAGCTTCCTAGATGTTTGTGTCCTGCAGAAATGACGAGGGGGAGAGAAAAGAAAAAGTATTAACAAGTGCGGGTTATTTTCTACATTTATTTTGCAAAATTAAAAGAATGAGTGTTACAGTCTTTTTTTTAACTTGAGAAACTGGCTTTCGACATTGGCAGGCTGCTGTTTCCCCCCGGGGGGTGTAATGAAAATGCTATCTTCTGGGTTATTATTATTAATAGTTTATTAAAATCGCTTCATCGCTGCCAGGGGCAGAACTGTGAATTCGATTTACATGAAATAAAAATTACATAAGTTACAAATAATGTTTAAAACTGTCAAATAATATACACATCAAAATAACGTCAATCTATGCACTTCAAAAAATTAAGAAACGCAGAAAAAAACAAAAATTAAAGGGAAACCTGTACTCAATACATGTTCAAAATCAAATACAAAACGCACAAATTACATGGTTGGTTGGTATTTGCATTACACTTTTTTATATGCAGCGCACGACCAGCAGCAAAGACTTTGACACGGGTGCCGACTGGGCTCACTTATTCACGGATTAACATAACGTCCATAAAGAGATAACACCATGGCGTTTGTCACCCCAGTTGTACTCCGCTATCTAAACGACCTCACCCTATCGCGACCGCTGGACTTCCGGTTTAAGTCCTAAAATGAACGTCTACTTCTGATATCGACTCACAATAAATATAAAACAACTAATCGCTGATCTCCTTGAATTGACATGTATCAGTGCCTCTGTGGAGTATGAAATTAAACTTCAACTCAGGATGTTTGAAAAAACAGAAGATCCTGACTCGTCCAGGTTAGTGTTAAAGTGTTGTGGCCTTTAGCGTGATGACAACACCTGTGAATTATTGGTAACCTCTCAGGGTACCATTAGGTATTGTGTATGTCTGGCGACTGCGAGGCTCCCATGCTGGTTTGGGCTTGCATTGTAATTTGCTAAAAAAGAATATCCTCGCTTTCCGGCTCTAGGAAAGTCTGGCCAGGTTTCAAATCCGCACCGAAAGGGTAAATATGCGTCGACACTCGAGATCGACGGAGCGCGCTGTCCTCAAAAGGACACCGCCGTCGCGTACGGAAAATACCGATGAGTTGCGGCTCCACGGCATATAGGAATTAATAAAGATGAAGCGATCAGCATTTCCCGCCATCAACAATCACGCACCACAAAGTGCGGCCCCGGGTCACCCGATGTCTGGCCAAAGTATTCGCGGCTTTACTCAACATGCGAGAGATTAATAATGAAAATCCCATTAATTTGTATAATGACGACTCGGGGTTGGGCTTGTTTATAATTGTACAAAAGTCATCCTTTTCAGTGTTGTGAATCATTTGCATTTACCAAGAGAAACCATTCCCCCTCGTCTCAAAACGTTGGCTGAGTTGTGGGAAGCTATTGACCAGATAAAGGGCGATATAACAAAGTTAATAATTTTATTTTTGAGCAAGGCGCCGAATGCACTACCTGAATACATAATGAGAAGCATTATTGCATTTGCAACCTTGCCATTTAATCTAATGCCATTAAGCTTAATCGTTTACTGTCAGTGTCTACCGAGCACTTTTGTTATCCTTAAAATGAAAACGTGGCTTGCTTAAGAAAAGATTAATTTAGGGAAAATTCGAGCGACGACTATAATCGTTAACTATTGTTCGACTAACACCACCCGAACGACGGACGGTTTTGACTATCTATCGCTGGTTATCAATAACTGATTTTATTTTTCATTACTGAGGGAACCATTCACATGAAAACAATTGTACGAGATTTCAATGACCGTGTACGCTGTGAGAATCGCAACCAACGGTGAAATGTGAGTAATGATGAGCTGGAAAAAATAGGCCAACTAGGGTCATTCGAGTGAGACTGAATTGCGCATGCGCATTGTTAAAAAGCAACTGACTACTGGTCGAAACTACAGTTCGCGCCCAAACTTGCACTTAGCTGCAGTTCACATCCTTGAAACAAAATGTATCACATGCTTCGACTGGTTTCAAGCTGCTCGCTTCACAAAGTGCAGTTCTGTAAGGAATGAAAAGGAGCCGAGTCCGGACCTAGTCCAATCAGCCCTTGGTATCTCACACAGTAACGAAGCATGAACTTCCAAAACTTAACGCCTTCTATGCAAACAATAAGGTATGACATTTCCACACGTAGTCTATAAACAGCAACTGCCGAACTCAAAAAACCGAACGAATGTCAACTATAAAAGCAAACGGGGGGAGGTAAAAAACACAACAGTAAATAAACTGGCCCGTGAGACCGACTTACAGACTTCGGTTCTGTACCAAGAGTAGGGAAAGATCAACATTGGTGTTCCATCGTTTGTTACTTTAAGGTACGGGGCGTACAAAAAGTACATAATCTAGAATCCATCCAAGTGACACATTTTGTGTAGCTCAAACAACGTTTGAGCACAAGATCAACAGCTTATTGTAGACATTTCAACGGATAATTTATTTCTGGTGCCAATCTGTCCGGCAGAGAAAAAAAATCAACCATTCTCAAAATGCCGCTTTTGGGAAATGCGGGGGGAAACGGGGGAGGAACAGGGCAAAGCTTCACGTCCCTCGATGCGGTCTGACCGACACTAGTGAAGGCCCTGCTGGGAACTGCCTCCGTTTCGCCGCTGCACTTAATGAGGTGTGTCGCGGCTTCCCGAGACGATTAGCCAGGTATTTTCCTTCCCGCAGCGGCGAGTCTACCTACCCAAGCCGAATGCTTCTCTCGCTTTACCGGCCACCAAAAGCATCGCCTCGACACCTTCCACTGTGTCAGTGCTCGCTTGGACCTGTGCAGAACTTACCTCCAGGCAAAATGCGCATGCATGGGAGGTTTTTCTCAACCTCTCCCCTCTGAATATTTCTATGATATGCCTTTTCCAAACCAACTATGGTGTGGCACTATGCGTTTTTCAAGCATGTTATATTCATGAAGCATATTCCAAGCGTGTACTGGTATGGTGTCTTATTTCATGTTGTTCATAGATCTGCTCGAATGAACCAAACTAGTTCTACTTAAATTTTGTGGTTGATTTTTTAATATTTAACAAAGTTTGGCAATGCCTGGTCTTTGACATCCGCCTCATTTACCCGTTTATACAACAATTTTGAATTTGCTCACACGCCCTTTTTTCATAGACTGCATCGACACTTTTTGGTGTTATCAGATGACCACACCACAGGGTGTTACTTTAACACTGCAAATGTTACTTTAGACACCTATAAGTGTTACAATGCATCGGATTGTGTTAAAAGTAACACGAAATAACACCAAAATTTCAACACCAGTGAAAAGTGTTGATGTAGTCCTCTGATAACACCGGGGGTGTTGAATTGAACACCCCAGTTATTGCAGTGTAATCAAGGAGTTTTTGAAAAAAACTGAGACTTTGCTCTTCAACAAGTTTTACACTGTTCATAATAGCCCCACCCAAATCGCGGTAGAACCACGCATAGGCTAAATGTGCTACGCGTGTCATCCGTAAAACGGCAAACCCAGCACAGTCCAACTCCTGCACACCGCACCCAACAACCACTAATTGCGCATTGGAGATGCACGGTCATGGGTCGGGCCCAGACTAAATACCGAGCCCATTCCAGCCCGTTTACTCTGTGTCCGAATGCGCGCGAAACTGTTTGCTTTCCCCTGAACATGATAGCGCACCATCATTCCACGCCTAGCTAATAACTTGTAAAGGCACGGTTCAGTGACTGCACTTCTTCGCAAAGAACAGGAATTCTTTTTTTAGATAAAATGCATATCACCAAGCGCCTACAATTACGACGGTCGATGAGATATCGGATATTTTGCGAATCCGGCACGTGATATGGAAACAGCGAAATCCAAACAACCTTTTGGCGGTGAATGCAAAGAGCAACTTCAGGTTGCTATGTGACAACCAGTCTAGATGCATTCGTCGGCAATGACGGGCATAAAATTGAATGTACTAATTGCGATAATTAACATAGCTCAGTCTACCAAGACGAGGCTGTTTGCAGTTGATGTATTCCATTCCACATCTTCCCGTCCTCTCCAAAATCGAATTGCGTTTTTGCAACTCTCATAAATTTTGGCAAAGTTCTTATAAATCCACGCTTTCTTCTTCATTTTGAGGTTGCCAAAGGAAAAGCTCATAGGGTTTTTGCTTGTTAGATGGGTATCGTCTCGTCAAATTTTAAGCTGGTTGTACGCACTTCATTACCTGTAAAATTACGTTTTGTTTAAAGGACGCATGTTTGAATAATGACAGCCCAATTCCGCGCAAAAACTGATGGTGCAGCCAACTCCAGCTAATCGTAATTTTTTTCACGCTCATCTTAACTTCCAAATAATATAAATCTTCTTTAAGCACTTCCACAAATCCATCTCTAACGTTGAACTCAAAATAACTGCTGTCTGATTACTGCGTTCAGCCCTCGCCAGTAATTCGCAATTATTGGCGCTTGACTAGCCGAACATGTTGGTGGTAATTCCGGTGCCAGCGTCGGCTCTGACTGCCCGATAAAACGGGAGATGAAGAACAACAAACAAAAACCAATTAATGTGACAAGTGTCTTCTCCTGACTTTCAGCAACCACTGGCAGCATCAGGCCGGAAGCTAACCCCGGGGGAACCCATGGACATCCCTCTTTTAGTTTAGGAACATGAGTGTTTCCCATCTTGCGCCGTAAATCACTTAACAATGTATACTCCTTACGATTTGCTGGCTGTCAGCTGGAATACTGCAACAAATAAACCTTTTATTTGGTGAGCCGAATTTTCTCCTAAATATAAACTGAATTATTAAGATAATCTTTCTTCCCTGCATGCACGCTTGAGGGATTCAAAGTGGCAGCTTGGTAATGAAATTACGAGGTCTAATGCAGCCTTAAAAGGTAATGTTTAAGTCAACACGCTACCCAAGGATAAACACAAAAGTTAGGAGCGCAAGCGCTGTGCTCACATCATCCATGCTTCAGCACTCCGTATGCCATTCTGTGCCTCTTCCCAAATCATTT